CTCATTACAGAAAGGATATAGCCAGGTTGGAGTCAGTGCAGCGTAGGGCCACAAGTTTGGTGGCCGGTTTGCAGGGGATGCCGTATGAGGCGAGACTGAGGGAACTGGGTCTCTTCAGCCTGGAGAAGAGGAGACTCAGAGGGGATATGCTGGCGACATACAGGTATGTGAGGGTATGTCACATGGAGGTGGGTAGAGACCTGTTCTCCCCTGCAGAGGAAGGCAGGACACGCTCCAATGGAGCAAAGCTCAGGGAGCCAAGGTTCCATTTGGATGCCAGGAAGCACTTCCTGACGGTCAGGACCCCAAGGGTGTGGAATGGGCTTCCACGAGAGGTTGTTGAGGCCCCATCGGTGCGGGTGTTCAAGGATAGGCTGGACGTCCACATGGTGGGCATGTCGTGAGAGGAGCCGGCTGGTGCTGGAGGTCAGACTAGATAGCCCGGGAGGTCCCTTCTGACTCGCTCTGTTTCTATGTTTCTATAACAACAACAATAAATATATATGAAATGCATTACATGTATGTGTGTATATGAAAATATAACTTTTTAGCAATTATTCACAGGCTTCAGAAAAAAACAGACGAGAAATTTAACAAACATTTTGAACAATTTACAGGTCTTCACATACTGATGTGAACAATATAATTTTGGCTTCTTTTGATTGCAAAATTATAAATATGACTTTGCCTATCTAGTGGAGAATATTCCAAGATAACGTGATAGACAGACATGTGAGGCAGAAGCGGATTTGTGGAGATTTCTAAAGAACAAAACTCTCTGGAAGCTGTTGCAATATTCATGATCAGTGCACACTCAATGATGAAGATACTTAGGACAAAGCACTAATACTGAGTTAGCTACAACCACAACCTCATTAAAATAATATGGATTTGTGTAAATTTTAATAGCTTTGTGAAAATGTCTATGACATGGAGACAGCCCCCCCCCACTTGCTTGATTATGCCTTAAACCAGAAACAATGTATTTGCTTTCAAGCCATTTGAAAACTACTCTTTGAACTAACAGCACAATAGCAGCTGGCAGAGGAATATGTGTTATTCATAGGGGAAAGATAAGGATAATATTATTCTCTCTTGTTCTTTTTACCACAATGTCTGAATTGTGCCTCAGTATTTTGGTTAGAAAGCTATTTTTCTCTTTATTATCAGAAACAGAGGTGCTACATCCTTTAAAAGAAAACTAGGGGCCATTTCAAATTTGGCAATTTCCTCTGAATCTCAAAGTCCATGAGATCTCATACCACTCCTAGAAATAGGCACTTTCCTTCAGTGACTCCATTGCCTTACCACCACCGCTGTCGCACCTCTTTCTCATCATTGCAGCCATTTTCTTGCATGGCGGAACAAGAGTCTGTGAGAAATAGTAAGTGGTAGCTACAGCTGTATCTTCTGACTACCACTGATATCAGAGTCAGAGTGAATGGCAGCTGAACAAGCAAGCTTCAATAGTGAAAAGGAGGTACAGTTCAAAAGAGTTCTTGCAAGTTGGCAACTGCCAACTCTGATCCCTTGAAGGTGGTCAACCATGCCATCCACTTTGAACATAAACTAATATTGCAGCCTCCATATGCCCCAGTTGCACCAATTTGTATTTCGTCAAACATTTTATTTCATAGATCTGTGTTAAGATTATTTGTTTGACAACCTTTTCCTATTGGGCCCTTTGGGAATCTATATATGGTTGTGGAAGAGGCTGAACTGAATTTCGGCCAAATCCTATAGAGTTAGGGAGTAAGACCAATTGAAATCAGCAGGGATTATTTCTGTGTGAATATACTACTACTGTGTGAATATACATTATGCTTGATATTAGGGCTGGTCTCAAGGGTGGGCATGGTTGGCCAGCTGAGTAGGAGCTAATGGACAATAGCTCCCTGAAGCAGTAGACATTGCTACTTTAATAGTAGATGTTGTATTGTTAAAGCATCTTTACCTCACACATTGAAGCCAAAGAAGCATTTAGGGTATGATCCTATACAGTTAGGCAGAAGATAATCTGGCAAATGGTAGGACCTTTTTTGTCTAAGCATGTATAGGATTGTACCTTTTCAGACTTAATTTTTGAGAATCATATTTAATTAACCTGGATAATCCATAGTGAACTAATTATTCATCAATCTGCCAGAATCAATAAGTAAATCTACAATAAAGAACTTACTTATTACAATACAATAAGTAAGTCTTAGTTTTTCTATTTCCATCATGGCTGGTAACAATGATAAGTAATAATAGTTATTCAGTTCAGAAAAGTTGTTATGAAAATGTATTGACAAACATTTGTGACAATGATTTTTCCCTCCCCCACCTCCCACTACTAGGACAACATTTAAGGAGTTTGCAGAGAAATATGGCACAGATCAACGATTTCGACTGGTCCAGAAGAAGAAAGACCAAGAGCACTTTTTCAACCAGTTTATACTAATCCTTAAAAAGAGAGACAAAGAGAACAGAATAAGGCTACGGAAAATGAGATAAAAAGGAAATATGCAATAAGAACCCAAGTCAAATCCTGTGGCATTTACAGTGGAAAAATGTGTTTGTGTCATCTTTTGAGTTTTAAAATCCAGCAATTAAAAAAAAAATAGAAACATAGGAACAAAGCAAGTCAGAAGGGGCTTCCCAGGCCATCTAGTCTGACCACTGGCTCCAGCCAGCTCCGCTCATGTAATGCCTACCTGAGGATCATCTGAAGAGCCACCTGTGTGCCGAAGTTTTTATGGAATATCATCCAAGGCTGCACTGAAGTAATCTGTAGGATATTTCATTCTCAGAGACTTAATGTTTCATATTGAAGCTCTCTTTTGTAGAACAGTCAAGTTTGATGCATTTCTAATTACCATATGTCAGTCTCTTAATTGTTTTGATTATGCAAATTTGAAATCCAATGTGATTTGTAATTAAGCAGAAGCAGGTGCTACCCATAACAATCGTGAGGCTTTTTTACACCATTAACAAAATAAAAGCTGAGGCTGCATTCCTATGCACACTTATTGGAAAGCAAGTGCCATTGAACTCACTGCACCTTACTTCCAAATTAATGTGCTTAGGACTTTGCTGCACAGTGATGTTTTGGCACCTTTGAATGGTTCAAAGGTCCAGTAGTGCTGAGGATATCATTACTCAATGTTCATAGGTCTAAGTCTAGTTTTCTGAATAGCAGTAGTAATAGGGTATTGATTGTTAATCATAGTAAAGAGTGAAAATCTTGGCACCTTTCCTGTAGAACAATGTGTAAATCTTTTTTTAAAAGCCTTTGCAAGTAAATTATCCTGTATGGTGCTCCAAGCACATCAAAAAGAACAGCACTCCTCTATTAAAGCTACTATAAAGAAATTATTTTGCAAATCCATCCAACTAATATTTGGGTTATTTTTATTGTATGAAGAAGACTTTGCATGAGATTAATCTCATCTTTGTATTAACAAATATTTACACTTTTTAAAAATTAATAAATATTTTAAGACTATTGGTCATCTTATTTTATTCAAATTAATTGAAGCAATCTCTGAAAACAATTGAAACAATCTCTTTATCCTGTTGCCAAAAAGATGGCAAATGGCACCAAGCGGGGTTGCAATAGGAAAATTGTTCCTAAAATGAAAAGGCACCACAGAAAAGGCCCAACTCTAGTTGTCATCCTTTGAGCCTCTTGAGGGGTTGACACCTGGAAGAAGTCCTCAAAGATTGAGTATAGTGTCTGGGTACATCAGGGTTGGGAAAGGGGCTCCAACGGGTGTTCTGGTCCCAAGCCACGTAGAGCTTCATAGGTTAAGACAAGCACCATGAATTGGAATCAGAATCATAAAAGCTGCCAGTGCAAGCAGGCTAAAACTGTTCTTACATGTTTGGACTGCCTGGTCCCAGTTAGTCTGGCTGCTGCACTCTGACCAGCTGCAGCTTCTGAAACATCTTCAAGGGCAGCCCCACATAGGGTGCATTGCAGTAATCCAGTCTAGAGATTACCAGAGCATTACCCTGTCAGATTGAAGAAACAATTGTTCCTGGCATATCTGTAGAGTAATTTCAGGAAGTATTTTATGGCAGTGGGAGTGAGGGAATAAACACAGACCTACCTCACCCATTAATAGGGAAGTGTGGGAGCAATTCCATTGGGATTAGGGTTGGTAAGCGTCCATGGACACCTTTAAGGGGTTGAAATTCCAGTGACTTCATGCTCTGAGTTTTGAAGCTCATGGTGGAGACATGAGTTGTTTCAGCTTGCCCACTGGGAATTTTGCAGGTTTGGGAAGGGTGGCACAGTAAGGCCTCCCTATACCATGATTGTGTTGACCTGCAAACAATGTCTCACCTATCCTAATACAGGATAGTCAACTGTAGCAATCTGCACCATTCCTTACCTCTTCAGGTCTGTTTTAAATAAAAATGTTTTAGATAAAAAATATACCAAATAAGTTTATAGCACTATCCTAACTCCCCTTTCCAACAGAATGAGCCTCTTACTTAGAAAGCACACAAAAATTAGTGTTTGGTGCAGATTTCAGTATTTTGAGTATGACAACTTTTTTATTGTTTTTCATAGCAATTATGCTAAGAGAAACTTGAAGGAGTCAGATGGGAAACCTTCAGTAATCTGCTTCCCTGCTGTCACTTGTCTACCAAAACAGAATGATGAGATATAATAAGCACATTTATAGAAATATGCTTAAAACCAATATCTTAACTCGGATGTAGAAGAATTTTGTTTCTGTTCAGAAAATAGTCAGGCAATCTCTGTTTACAGGTCTGAGTACAAGTAAAGCAGAAAATGTTTGCAAATTATCTCAGGCAATTTTTGCAAATTATCAAACATCATCTTGCATTTGAAATATACACTTCTATAATAAAAGGTTAGTAATTGCACAACTTTAAAATGTGTCAGTTTGCACTTCACCCAAAGAAGAAAATTTGCTCAAGTTTGACAATAGTGTTGCAATGAATTTCCATGGAAACCTTTCCTCCACTGTTTACAGGTTCCCTCCTGTGTTTGGGCCTCCCTCAGAAAGCAAGTCAAGCTGAAAGGAAGTTCATGAATGTTTGCAGAACAAAGCTTGCACAACTGTCAACCTTCTTTAGAGTGGGGGGGGGGGGAATCAATCGGAAGGAGAACTCCAGCCTCCTGAGGAGGTGACCAATAGTCCATTGTCACAGTTGGAGGGTGGCCGAACTGGGGACCCAGAGGGTGTGCAGGTGTGCCCATTTCCACAGCAACCCCTCCCCCAGAAACAGATGCAGAAGGATTCATAAACAAAGCTTGGGGTGAATAGGGGCAGAGAGGATTGCACACATACTGGCCAAGCTCGAAAAAATGGATCCAATAATTTAGACAAAAATGCTACTGGTTCCCTCTTCTCTCCCCAGTTTTGGGCTAATACTCCTAATGCTGCTCCCTCTTGCACATTGACCAAAAAAACAACAACAAACAAACAAATACAAAACGGTTTTTCCAGGGAAAGGAGTGCCAATACTGGGGTCATAGTCAAATCTTTCTTTAATTGTTCTATTAATGTTTCTTCCTCAGTTGTCCACTTTTGTTAGGTTTTTCTTCTACCAACTTTTCATATAATTTTCTGGTTTTCTGCGCTTATTGATCTATCCAAATACTGCAGTGTCCAACCAATCCTAAAAGCCTTCTTAATTCCCTCTTTATTTTTGGTAACGGTGTTTCAAGAATTTATCTTATTCTCACTGGGCTTATTCTCCTATGACCTTCACTAATCATATGCCTAAGTATTTTACTTCTGATTCAACGAATTGTAATTTGCTCTTAGACACTCTCAATGCAAGAAAATTCAACAGAGCTTTCGTGGCTTCCCCTACTTGGCTTTTCCGTTCTTCTGACAATAATAAATCATCCATGTACTGCAACAGCAATATCCTGGTGGTAATTTAAACTTTTCCAACACCTGCACTAAAATTTGTCCAGATGAATTTGGACTTTCGGTAAAACCTTGTACCAACACAGTCCAGTGGTACTGTTGTTTTCTTCCTATGTCTGGGTCGTCCCATTCAAAAGCAAACATGTCTCTGCTACTTTTATCTAGCAGACAGGACCATAAAGCATCCTTCAAATCAATTACCCTGAACTACTTGTGGTTTCTACTTAGCATACTTTCTACTTAGCATACTTTCTACTTAGCAAAGTATATGGATTGGGGACCACTGGGTGTCTCGTTTTGACTATCTGATTTAGCTGTCTCAAATCAAGTTTCCTGACTGGCAAGATGGGGGTATTATAATCAGACATACATGGCTCCAATAGTCCATCTTTTACCAATCCCTTGATTGCTGGTTTTAATCCCCTTCTTTCTTCTGTGGGGATGGGGTGCTGGTTTGTCTAACTATCTCCCTCTTTTGTTTCAACTGTATTTTTAATAGTGGTATATCCAGCCCACCTCTGTTGCCTTCTTTAGCCCAAACTGCTGGATTTATTTTCTTCTCATCTTCTATCAACAGTGCTGCCATTCGTATGACCATTTCTCTATCTTCCACCACTAATTAGATTCCTAATTCAATCATCATGTCCCACACTAATAGGTTTACAGCTACACTAGGGATGCGAACTGGCTTACATACTACTTTTTCCCTTTCCAATTGCATCTGCACAGGCTCAAAAATTCTAGCTTCTAAAGCTCCTCCAACACCTGAGGCTGTTAACATTCCTTGGCTTAATCGTGTTCCTTCAGGGATCACAGTGAGGGAGGTTCAGGCCACCCCATATGGACCCACTTTTAAATTTATCAAGGGCTCCCGGTGGGTCCTAGAAAAAGGGAACCCCTGACTTCCCTATTCTTCCATATTCATTAGTTGCACCACCTGTTCATCCTGCCTATTTTGGGGACATTTCCATTGAAAGTGGCCTACTTCTCCACACCTATAGCATCCTGGGCTTCCTCCCATATTTCATTGTCAACATCCCACCATGGACCACCCATATCCTTGACTTCTTCCCCAGTTTATTCCTCCCCCTCTTCCCCAACTGGGTCTTGGGTTTTGTAGCTGTTATTCTGCCTTTTTATTCATTACTTGTTCCCCACTGTTCACCATAATCTTAACTTTTTGTTTTTGCTTTTCATCCTCTTTTTACATAAACTTTCTGTGCTTCCCGCAACAGATCCTCTATTGATCTGTCACTCCAATTTTCTAATTTCTCAAGTTTCTTTCAGATATCTAGCCAGGATTTTGTAACCAAGTTTACCTTTAGCAACGCTTGTGATATGTCATCTTCAGTATTTAACCCTGAGTACTTCCTCATGCTATCTTTCAGCCACTGTAGGAAAGCCAATGGGCTCTCCTCCTTTCCTTGTTGAATTTCAAATGATTTAATGTGACTGTGTGACCTTGCGATCACTGTTCTCATTCCTTTTCTTAGTAGGGTTCTTAACACCTGGATGTTAGCCCGGCGAGCTGCATTCTGATGATCCCACTGGGGATCTTGACTAGGGAATTTTTGTTCTGCTGAAACCTGATTGTTTCCA